ATTTTATTAGAAGAAATTTTAAGTTTATAAGATATTTTTTAAATAATTTAATTTTAAATTTAAGTTTTAAAAAATTTATTATAATAATTTTTTTAAAATTTATGTTTGCAAACTAATTTAATCACTTTACTACTAATAAAAGTCATAAATTTCTTAGTAAATTATAAAAAAGTATAATAATTAAAGTTATTTTTCATAATAAATTTTATAATATGGGTTCTTTGCAATAAAAAGGAAGGAAATTACTAAATAAATTTTTTTTGAGTTAATATAAATCTGAACTTATTTTATTAAAAAAATATTATTTAACTTATAAAGCCAAAAAAAATTTTTTTGATAGTTTCCTCCCTTTCTATTACAAAGAGTTCATATTATATTATATTAATATTGCTAAAAGTAAATGTTAATAATAAGATTATCAAAGATCAAATGATGAAATTTATTAATTTATAATTTTTTTAAAAATTACAAATTTTTAGCTTATAAGTAACTGTAAATTATTAAAATTATTATTATATAATTAAAAAATAAATTTACTATAATATAATACATATTTATTAAATTAATTTAAAAAATTTTAATTTTTTATCAAAAGGAAATTTATAGTAAATAAGCAGGTAAATTTACCTTTATAATCTAAAGAATATGTAAATATTTTCTTACTTCTTTAAAAATATTTAAATAAATTTATATTATCTAAAAATTTCTAATAAAAATTCACTAATTTTTATAAATTTATCTCAACATTTTTTTCTAAATAGTGATTTACCTAATAGAGTTCAAATAGTTAAATAATCATCATTAGTATAAAAAAAACATTTATTATGTATTATTAAAATATATAACTGTTCTTTATTTTAAATTTTAGAAAATCATTTGCATTTCTTCAATCATTAATAAAAGTTAACATTAATTTTTTAAATTTTACTATAGTTTTTAAAAATAACTTCTAATATTGTAATACATTTTACATTTATATCCATCAAAATATATATTTTTCTTTTGAGATTATGAAGTCAAACTTAACTTATGAAATTATACTCTTACTATCTTTATTGATACAATCAACTCTTGATATAGCGAACTCTTGATATAATAAATTTTTTAAACAAATATAATAAAAATACTCTTGTTATAGTGAATTGGCCAATCAAATCTCTTAAAATCTTCACTATAGCCTTATAGCGAAGTTGAGATCTAAAACATAGAGTTCGTTATAACAAAAGTTGACTGTATTGACTTTATAATACCTATTTAAGAAAAAAAAGTTTGATATTATAAATTCTTTATATTGTTATTTTTTTGTTTTTTCTATCATTAAAATAAATATATATTAAATTACAATTAATAATATCCTTTATTTTTTAATGATAACCTTGTAATAAATAAGTAATGCATCATATTTAATTTAATAATTATCTAATTTACTAATTATTCTAAATCTATAAATTTCTTATAAATTTTCTTTAATATTTTTTCACATGCTTTTATCTGTGTTAATCCATCTTTTTTCCAATATGTAAAAATATGTATATAAAGATTGATATCTTAAATAATTATATTTTGCTTTTTTTATTATTTGAAATAATTTGTGTAATTTTGATTAAAATCACATCTTTGTAAAAAATTTTTAAATTAAATTAATTTATATATTATATAAATCTTTTTTATTTATTTAAAATAAACATTATATAAACAGTTAAATATCAATTAAATTAGTTAAATGATAACCAATTTAAATTATTAGCTAATTATTATTAATTTAAATAAATATATCCTGCAATTAATATAGTAAAATTAATCAATATAAATTTTATAATGTTTATATAAAGAATATATTGTATAAAAGTTTAATTTTAGTAGAATCTGATTTTTGAATTTAATATATAAAAGTTTATGAAATAATATTAATAGGATTTTTTTATATAATTTGTAGGCCAAAAAAAAAATTTTTTTACTGTAATTAACTCGATGAGTTGTGAGTTTTCTTTTAAGGCATATAAAAAAAAAAAGATCATTTAATAAAAGCCTTACCTAAATTCTCCTTTTCTTTCACCTGTATGAATATAAATTTACCGAAATAAATTGTGCATTTAAATGTCCTTTTTCTGTAGCTTTTTGATACCAATAAAGAAATTTTCTAATACCTTTCTATCCCTTTACGTTTATAATATAAATTTACAAGATTAAATGCTTTAATATTAATTAAAGGATAAATACTCTTTTAATCTGAATTATCAGACGAGCCGCTGTCATATTGGTCTTGTTCTTCGGCTAATTTTCGAGAAAAATAACAATAAATTAAATGTTATATTACAAATTATTAAATAAAAAGACTTAGGTTGCGTACCGCCATCTCCCAATAATGCGGCTAAAGAAATAGGTCCCGCTATGCCATTAGATTTTTTCCCGTCCTAATTAAAAATTTCACTCATATAAGATTTCTACATTAATCGTATTAAGTTTATAATTTAATTTAAATATATAAAGCTTACTGTTGTAATCGACTTTTTCTTCGTACGAGGAGATTTAATAATGCTATTTATTGATTGTTTCATTTGTGTCTCAAGATCACCTGGTTCAGATTCCAGCTCTGATTCACTTGAATCAGACCCGTCACCGGAATCATCTGAATCGGAAGATGTGGAAGAAGTACCACCTGAAGAACTACTGTTTGATGATTCCGTCACATCATCTTTTGTTACCTCTTCATAATCCTCCGTCGGTCCATACATATCGTCTTCGGGTGATGGAGCTTGTGGTAACGGAGCATCAACTTCCTCCAAATCACCCTCCATCCAGACATCACCATCATCATCATCATCATCATCATCATCATAATATTCACATTCGTCATTTACATTACCATTCTCCCCATTACCTTCAACTTTCATTGATTCTTTAAATTTCTCTAAATAATCCTCTTCTTCATCTGGGAAAGAAGTCTCCCGGATGGTTTGATGCAAAATTACCCGCCGAGTTTTCTTCGAAATCCGTGAATGGTGATTAGTATACTTTCCTGTGCTCATCTTATCATCTGAATTGAATCATGATTTACAGTTAATTAATATTTCATTCAGCATAAGAGTTTTACCCTTTTCTACACAAACTAAATATGAGATCTATCCCGATTATTTTAATTCATTCATAGCAGAAGCCAAATCGTATTTTACAAATTCCTTAGAAGTTTATCGTAATAATAAGTTGTAGCCTGTACTAATCTTTTATTTTCCAATTAGGATGTAATAGCCATATTCACTTTAAAACTATTTAAGAGTTTGTAGAGTTCATGCAACAAAAAGAAATAAAAAAAAATTCTGAATATTACGCGTTAAAAGATAGTAGATATTTCGGAAAATAAAGAGGGCAAGTTTATCCGCTTAGATCGGACGATTTAAGGGATAACTTGTAACATCCCTCGAAAATGACTTGTTCTATTATTATCGTTATTTCTTCTATTTTTTTGAAATCATATATTATCGATTATTTAAGCCAGTGAATGGTTTTTTTTTTAAAAACAAAAAATTAATCACAGTGAGTTAATTGTTTAGTAGAAGGTGCTTTAAATGTAAGAAGTTCTGTTCAGATACGGCATAAAACTCCAAATATTCTTATGATAATATAACCATACACAAAATGTCAGACAACGAAAGCCATGAAGAAAAATTTATTGAATCTGAGGCACAAGTATTCGACTTTAAGTTGGGGAATTCACTTGAACAAAGCCATTCAAGTAGAAATTCCTATTTTCGCTTTGAGTGTAAGTATATTATCGTTTAACAATTCCGTTGGACTTATAAAAATACTTAATAGATCGTTTTTTATTAGTTGACGAAGAACATCATGATATAAATTTTTCAAAACCTGCAAATATTAGAGATATTAATGAAAAAACTGTGCAAATTTCTTTTGGTGGATCTTTGGTTTGTTATACTTGAATATTTCATGTTTATTGACTGTTTTACATAATTAATTAAATGAATTTTTAATTAAGGAAAACGAAGCATATTTATTGTCTGGACAAAGATTTGAAGATAACAATTATGAGATAGATGATGAAAATGCAGAAAGAGATTATTTATTAATATTTGATGAGGCAACAAAAGTACAATTCTATTTAATTTAAATCAATTTCTAGGAATCATCTTTAACTAAATCGGTTTGTTTTTAGACCTTTACGTTAGAACTCCTGGATTATGAGTTTCGAGTAGGTGTTGGTAGTGATTTTTCGGAAGTTAACAGTATAGGTCAGAAATTTGAATCTCCTAATTCAGATATTGAGCGACAATTTCAAGAAGTAATGGAAGAAGGAGATCAATCATATGTAAATGGAGAATATTTCCCAGATGAAGAAGAGGATTATTTAGAGAAATTTAAAGAATCAGAGCTGCACAATCCATGTTAGTTACTTTACTCTCAATCTTCGAGCTCGGCTCAATCCCTGCACCACGAACGGCTAAGAACACATTGACTTCCTGGTCGCTATCTCCACCGTGGCTTCGCCCAATACCACCATGGTCAGTTGTCATTATTACAAGAGAATCATCTCTCCATCCCGCTTCATCAATAGCTTCAAGAATTGTCGCAACTTGTGAGTCCATAACTTTGATTTGATTCAGATACTGCTGAGAACCATAACCGTAACCATGGCCGTGCTCGTCTACGTCAGTCAAATGAACAAGCAACAATTTAACACTTTTGTTTTCAGGGTTACGAATATAATCGACCAACCGTGAGACAACAGCATAGTCGTAAACAGAATTTTTAAGCCAGTGATGTTTAAAACGCAGCCACCATCTCCAGAAATAGTTTTCGTGGGTGAGAGGAGCATACAAATCGACCTTTACCGATAATTCAATGATACCAGTGTTGATTGCTTCCCATGCTACATATGATGCCATCTTAATATCCTTGAAACTTTTAGCAAGTAGCTTGTAAATACTTGGATAGGGACTATCTTCATCATATGGTACGCCAGCCTCCACTTCACCATTTTTTAATCCATGCTTATCCGGTAGAACTCCGTGTAGTACTGATCCCCAGTTTTGTGCGCTGTCAGTCGGCACAACCGCTTTTGCAGTTAACGAGCTAGCACCCGAGGCAAAAAAGGCATCAATGGTGGGTGTTGGGATTTCCGTGAAAAATCTCCCTACACCTAGGTATGGATTAGAATTATCATTAGCATCGTTGTTGTATTAATCAAAAAATTATTCTTTCTTGTTGTTCCTATACTTACCATCTAATGCGAGAACGATAACACGTTTATACGGACTTTGCAAAACCATGTTTGGTGAAATGATATTCCCGACATTCTAACAGAGTTTATATATATGAACAGGATCATAATTACTGCGGCGCGAAAGATATCTAACCAAATCTGTATTCATTCATACAATCCCACACAATTCAATACAGTTGAATTGTGATACATTTGTTGGACATTTATTGCATCTCATTTAGGTCCCTTTTATATAATTTTTTTTCAGGGCCGTGCCGGCAAGAATCCGATTGTTAGCTATATTGTTTGGCAACTTATGCTATTGTCAGCGTTGGTCACAAATTCCAGAATTCGGAAAATTCTCCGGATGTCAAGAAAAGCCCTTGGGTACACGAGCATCTCAATGTTTGCCTACAAAAGGTGGGACATTGTATCAATTTTTATATCATGAATACTTTTCTTTTCTCTTGTATAAAGGATTGACGACGATATTATATACTAACAAAAAATATATATATATAACACGTTCCTGCCTGTACTTCCGAAACTAAGTATGTATGATTTAATTTGCTGTCTCTATTTTACGTTTTATTTCAAGTTTTATGAGTTATAGAGTTATAGCAGTATACTCGGTTGACTATTTCCATTTTAGATGAGTACCAAAACTAATATACCAGGAGGCTATGGTCTTTGTCCCGCATGTGGTGGAAAAAAAACATCTGAAAATTGGTGCCCGCCATGCCATGCGCGACTGCTTCTTGACGAATGTTCAGGATTGACGAGTGGTGATAAGAACTTGGATGAGTTTATCAGAAAAACTATTACCGATGCACGACGTTCTTATGATTACTTCGAATGGATTCCTTTTGAGAATTTCAAGGATATCAAACAAATAGGGAGGGGTGGATTTGCCACCGCTTATTCAGCGACTAGAACTAATTGTCGGAAAGGTCATTTCGATTGGGATGAAAAAACCAAGAAATATGTCAGAGGGAGTTGGAAAAACTATAAAGTCGCACTGAAATCCTTCCACAACACTCCTGACATAGCATCAACGTTCCTAAATGAGGTCAGTTATACCATTATCGCTTATTGTACCATCATTTATTAGCTCCACTTTCATTTCATAAGAATCTATTCCAGATAAAAACTCATCACAAATGCATGATGTTGCAAGAAGACGAATTCCTCCAGTGCTATGGGATTAGTCGAAATCCGGTAACTAAAGAATTCATAACAGTCTTAGACTACGCGCAGCAAGGTGACTTGCGCCATTTCTTGCAAAAAAATCATGAGACCCTGAAGTGGGAGGACAGGCTACGTATCGTGACCAAGATTGCCAAAGATTTGAAAGTTATCCATAGCACTGGACTTATCCACGGCGACTTTCACAGTGGAAATGTGCTACAAGAATCGACTATCCCTAAAGTGTCTGATTTTGGGCTGTCGCGTGTGGATAAAGACCATATTCCAGAAGGTGGCATCTTTGGAGTTGTTCCTTATCTTGCTCCGGAAGTTCTGCGCGGAAATTCTTATCGTAAACCTGCAGATGTATACAGCTATGGAACTATTATGTGGGAAATTTCCTCCGGCAGACCAGCATTCTGCGATATTGCGCATGACTATCGACTCATAGCTCGAATCTGTAATGGTACTCGACCCCAAATTGTCACGGGTACGCCAGACTGTTATATTGAATTGATGCAAAGGTGCTGGGATGAAGAGCCAACAAAGAGACCTACGGCAGAAGAGATTTATGACACTTGTCTTGAATGGTATAATTATGTCAAAGAGAAAAAATCTGATATTTATCATCAATTTGCAAAAGCTGACGAAATAGCAGCAACTAGGGATCGGGCAATCCAAAAACATAGCCCTGAAGCCATTTATACAAGTAGACTTATTCACTATGTCACCAAGAAACAGGATACTTGTAATGATACCAAGCAGCAGGATCTCTATATTAATACCAGCTTACAGAATCTCTGTAATGATACTAGGCAACAGGATCTCTATTTAAATGACATGACCGAATAATGTCTATCGTGTAAGGGGGAAAGGTTCAGCCATTTTTATATGTTATTTTCCTGAGCCAATTTGCATCTAACTTATTTTTCATTTTTGGTCTCTGATTTAATATTTGGTTTTTCACTTTAGCTCGTTTTTCTTTCTTGATTGAGTATATTTAAGTTTCTTGTAACAAATGACCAATTTCTTTTGTCTGTTAATAATCGACCCTGTTGAAACGGAGTATACGGTTTTGTTCCGAAAATATACTAATTAATTTCAAATATGTTTTATGATTAAAGCATACAGAAAAGGTGTTTAATCTACTTTCTGTCGATTTCAGATGTCGCTTTGTTATAAATAAGGAAATGATCTTCATGTAATTCTGGCCAAAGTTGGACAACCTGGCCTACATTATAAATATATGCGGGTCGAACATCTGAGGTACAACATATATATTTATTTATTTATTTATTTATCCGAATATTTGTTTTTATAAAACAATATTATATACATATATATAAAAACGTGAGAATTTATCAAAAATTTTCGCAATTTTTATCAGATCATTTATTTTTATTTTTTACAATTGAAGTTTGTTTTAAAATATATTTGATTAAAGGATTCTAAATAGTAATTATAAATAACAATTCAAAAACTTATTGAATGTTATAAGACTTTGCAGTAAAAAATTTGCAGGCAATTTTATTTATTAATTAAAATTATTTTAAATATATTATTAAAAAATTAATACTTTTCAATAATTTCTATAATGTTTTCTAAGTAAAAAAATGTAATTAGCTAGTGATTTTTTAAAGATAAATAAATAATAAATTATTATTAAAAAATTTAAACTCAATTATATTACTATCTATTAATCTCAAAATATAAAAATACTATCATTTAATAGGTCTTAATGAGATGAATCCAATAAATTGAATTTTGTTTTTAAATAATTAAATTTTAAAAAAATAACATATTATGTAATTTGAAAAATTGAAAAATTGATATATATTAATTTTAAAAATTTAAAAATATTATTATTAAACATATTTTAATATGACAAATTTAATAAATTTTAATTTATCCTTTTATAATCATTAGATGTCAAAATATTTAAACTTTCTAAAATATTTTATAAATAATTTTTACTTAAAATTTAAAAAATAATAAAATAAATATTAAAATATATTAATAATAATAATACTATTTATAGTGCAATTATTAGGATTATGCTGCTTGTCAAATTTAGATATATTGATTAAATATTAATATATCAAATAATACTATTCTTTAATTTTAATTATATTGGTTAAACATTAATATATATGAGCTTAACAATTATATTACTTTTAATATTATCATTATTAGTTATATTACATATAACATATATTATTATTATTATTATTATTCATAATAAAGCAATTAATTTGTTAAATTTATTTTTTTTATTAAACTTAAGTTAATAATCCAACTTTCACCAACAATTAAAATTGATCAAAATATATATTAAATTCTAATTCAAATAAGAAATTATTAAGTTACTTATTTTTTAATAATTATTTTAAAAGTGATTGATCATAAAGAACTTTAGTTTGTTTTGACATTACTTAATAATAATAAAATTATTATTAGAATTTTTTAAAATAAACTTACTAATATATTATTAATATATTAAATTTTACTTATATTTAAATATAATTATAAATTCACTATTTTTTATTGAAATTCTTTATCTTTTATAATATTATTCTTTAACTGATTTTGAGTTAATAATTGATATATAAAAAAAATAAAAAAATATGGTAAATTTATTTATTTAAATTAAGTGTAATTGATTTAGATATCATATTTGATTGGTCTAAATTTCTGGAATATGATCTATTATTTTAAAAATTATTTTCATTTGTTTATTATCAGTTGATAATATATATGAGGTTAATCAGAATCTCAAAAACTTATAATTAATGCTACTAACGTAAATGCTAGGTAAAGTTTATATTAAAAATTTCCTAAAATTACTGACTAAACCATAGGTAAATTTTATAGTACATTAAAAATTATTTAAGTTTCTGCAGGATAAAGTTTTTTTTTGCTTCTAGCTAATAAAAGATAAAATTATTAATAATTTGTAAAAGATCCTTATATAATAGAATGAATAAAATATATATTGATATTTTTATTGTAAAATATCATAACTAATATTTTTATTGTAAAATTATAATAAAAAGAAAAACTAAAGAATTATGGTAAATTTATAATAAAGTATGATAATTAGAATTTTATATAATTAAAAGGAACTTTTTTCAATGGAAATCAATAAAGAATGTTCACAAAAATAAAAAAATGCAACAAATAATGCTTACTTTCCTATACTAACAATTACTAAAAAGAGTAAAAATAAAATTATTGAAAAAGAAATTTTAGATTATATAATTATTACATCTTCTAAATTAATAAAATAACTACAATAAATAACTTTTAATTTTTCTTCAACTATTAACTATACTAATAAAAAATGTTCTTTTAGTGATTTTGATACTGATGATAATAATACTGATGATAAATTTGATGGCAATGATAATAATTTTGATAAAAATAGTAATAATGAATATAATGAGTTTTTTTCTTGATAAAGAACCTCATATGTATTCTAAAGAAAAAAATTATGTCAGCATAAATACTTTTTATGATTAATCAATTCAAAAACATATTTGATATATATATATAGAAAAGACATAAAATTAAACAAATGATATTTAGTAAAAAAACTTAATAATGTAAGAAATTGTTTTGCATTTATTATTTATTAAAAAATATTTTTAATTAATTTATTTTCTTTAAAACTATACAGAGAGTGATCATGGGTATCCAAATGATAAATATATTTTATTTATTTATTTTGTTTATATTGTTTACATATATTTTTAATTTAAGTATTTGTTTAGGATATAAATGGATATTGATCCAAATAATTTTCTTTTGCACAAAAATGGTTAAAACAAAAGAATTGAATGCTGAACAATATGAGACAATTCTTTATAGCCATAAATAAGATGATTCATATCAAAAATTGCTAATATCATTTAATGTGATAAAACAACTGTCTATAATACGATAAAATATTTTAAAAAGACTGGTTCTATAATACTGAAAAATGTTGTAGCCTGAAGCCACTTTTTAATTCAAATGTACAATCTTCACTCAAAAAGATTATTACACAAAATTCAAAGAATCATCACCTTACTACTCAAAAAATTCAAGAATTATAGACTAAAAAAAAGAAAGTTTTAACTATTACAATTTGTCAAACTCTTAAAAAAGTCGACTTACATTTATGTGTTGCCTACTCTAAACTATTAATTTCTGAAAATAATAAAGAAAAAAGATTGGCTTAAGCATTAGAATAAGAAGATTAGATAATTGCAAAATGGAAAAAAATTGTATGATCTGATGAATCAACATTTAGCCAATTTTCATAAGGTCATAGCTTACGTGTGTGACATACATCAAAAGAAGAATTTGACCCTTCTTGTTTAACTACTACAGTAAAGTACAGTTTTAGTCAAATGTTTTAGAAATACTTTTCGTAGTATGGACTGGAATCTCTTGTTCCTCTTCACGAATCTGTAACAAGACAAAGATATACAAAAGTATTACAGAAGCATACTATTCCTTTAATTTACAAATTAGTTTCTCGTAAACAAGAAATTTTTCAAGAAGATAATGTCCCACCTTATTAAGCAAAGGTTGCTACTAATATTTAAGATTTTTGTACTACTTTAGCCTGTACAAAGTCTTGATTTAAATCCTATTAAAAATCTTTGAAATAAAATTGATAAGAAAGTTCGTAATTTGTCTAATCAACCTAAAAATGTGGAAGATTTAGAACGTAAAGTAAAATATGCTTGGCATTTAATTTCACTTAAGTATGTTCAAAATTTAGTTGAAAGTATGTTTTGTTATATTTAAGTATGTATAGCAGCTAAAGTTAGTTTAACAAAATATTAGTATTTATTTTTTTTTTAATAAAATATATAAGAAATATTCAGAACAAATAAATTTTTTACTTATTCTAAAAAAAATGTTAATATTATAAATAAATTCAAATAGTTTAATTAATCATTCAGGTACCCGTGATTACCCTCTATATATATATAGCAAAAAAGCATTTATTTCTAAAATATAATATTGAAAAATATTATAAAATCAATATGGTGGCTGTCACCTATAAACCGCATTAGTCCGAAATTTCAAACGTCGATTATCACGTGATATTCACGTGATTT